CTGTCCCATAAACCATTCTGACTGCATTGTGCTACATTTATTGTATTTCCCCCACCCTGGCAGCCAGTCCTGCACCCACGCCTCACCTGCAGAAGCTGCCGGCACCGCGGTGCTCAGGACAGTGGGGAAGGGGCGCTGGTGACAACACTACCCCAGCCAGCGAGTGTGATGGTGGCTGCTCAGGGCATCCCCAGGGAACAGCCAAGGAGGATCCAGTCCACATCGGTAAGGAGGCTTCTTGGGCAGCAGCTGGAGCTGGACCCAATGGTGAAGGGGCCATGGCTGGCACTCTCTCCCAGCCCATGGGTGGCTGCTCCGGTAGAGACGGAGATCGGTGCTTTGGGTCGCAGCCGCCCCTGCAGCAGCCCCCATTGCCTCATGGGCACCTCAGTGGCTGTTTTGGCAGGTACTGGTCTGAGGAGGCAGTCGCAGGCTGGGAGTCCTGGGGGTGCACTGGTGAGCCAGCACGATCCCCTTGTCCCAAAACCACCTCTCACAGCTGGCGCACTGGAAGGGCTTGGCCTCTGCTTGCCTCCTGCCAGGTGTGGATACCCCCATCCCACTGGATGCCCTCCAGCACTGCCGACAGGCCCTGGTGCACCCACTGGTGGCTCTTCAGGTGCTGCTTCTGGCTGCAGGTCTTGCCGCACTAGTCTCACTTGCAAGGCTCCTCGCCAGTGTGGATGCACTGGTGGGTGCTGAGGGTCTGCTCATCCAGGAAGGTCTTGGGGCAGTGGGTGCAGGCAAAGGGGTGCTCCCCACTGTGGACTCACTGGTGGCTCACCAGGTCATCCTTCTGGATGAACCACTCGCCACAGTGGCTGCAGGCAAAGGGCTTCTCATCCGTGTGCACACACTGGTGGCTCAGCAGGTGATGCTTCCGACGGAAGACCTTGCCACAGTCAGTGCAGACGAAGGGTCACTCATCTGTGTGGCTCTGCACATGGCTGGCCAGCTCTGTCTGGCTCTTGAAGCTCTTGCCGCACTCAGTGCAGGAGAAGGGCTTTTCGCCAGTGTGGACCTGCTGGTGAACGCTGAAGGTCTTCCTGTCCCTGAAGGTCTTGGGGCAGTGGGTGCAGGCGAAGGGACGCTCACCAGTGTGGATGCGCTGGTGGCTGATCAGGTCGCCCTTCTGCGTGAAGCAGTGGCCACAGTGGCTGCAGACAAAGGGCTTCTCACCAGTGTGCACACGCTGGTGGCTCAGCAGGTGATGTTTCTGACGGAAGCTCTTGCTGCAGTCAGCACAGCTGAAGGGCCGCTCACTCATGTGCCTCCGCTTGTGGCTGGCCAGTTCCGACTGCCTCTTGAATCTCTTGTCACACTCGGTGCAGGAGAAGGGCTTTTCACCAGTGTGGATCCGCTCATGTACGATGAGGATCTTCTTGTCTCTGAAGGCCTTGGGGCAGTGGGTGCAGACGAAGGGACGCTCACCAGTGTGGAC